GGGGGGGGGGGATGTGGTAAATATTTCAGTTCTGTGTGTTTGCTGACATCTGAAGACCTTTACACATGAGTTTAAATTAGGTTTGATTAAACATGCATGCTGTTGGATTAGCTCCCAGCTTCCGCTCCAGGTGTGTGTGAGTGTGTGTGTGGGGGGGGGGGTGGTCCTGGGTGGAGCCCAACCCAGCCCAGGCATGATTTCATCCAGTTGTAACTCTGATTATAGAGGACTAATAATCTGGGTTTTTAGTCTTTCTGGGATCATTCTGATCATTTATGACCACTTTATTATTGGAAAAACTCCCAATGGCGACTTTCAAGATGGCGGCCATGTTCTAATTATAGCCTGAAATATATATATATATATATATATATATATATATATAAATAAATATTTATTTATTTATGATATTATTTATGTTGCCCCCGACACACAAATAACACCCAAAACCTGGTCCAATAATCATGGTAATGAGTCAGAATACTCCCATTGGTGGCTTTCAAGATGGCGGCCATGTTTCTATCATAGCCTGAAAGACTACACATATATATATATATACATATATATATTAGTGTTGTCACGATACTAAAATTTTAAACTCGATACCGATACTCAGGAAAATACTCGATACTCGATACCATTTTCGATACCACAAGGATAAAAACAAAGACCCTAAAATTTAACTGAATTGTGTCTTTCATTTCAAACTGACCTGTTACTGATGTTATCGTGACTGGTGGCCCACATTAATGACCCTAACCCTAACCCTAATCCTAACCCTAACCCTTCATAATAGTGAGAAATAAATATCTTTTGGTTAAACTTGTTTGGACTTATTGTACAAACCTATTTAACATCCACTATTTTAACATAAAATTATGGATAGAGTTTAATTCAGTGTTTGCAAGATTCATTTCACTATTTTTAAATTAATGTCTATATTGCCATGAAGCAATTAGGATTTTCTTGCCTGGGCTCTTTCTATTGGTGACGTAATCAAAACGTCCGATTTGGATGTGGGCGGAGTTAAATATGTACTTGATTAAGGGTAGCATGTTTTTATTAGCCATTAGCCGCAGCTAGCAAGGCTAACGTCTTGTTAATGATCATAAACAACTTAAATAAATACATAAATAAATCAGAGAGAAGGGGCGCAGCAACGGCAGGTCAGCGTCGCGCGCGGACTCGCGCGGTGGTATCGATACTTTTGAAAATGAGTATCGTATCCGGATACAACATTTTAGTATCGATACTTTTTCGAGTATCGATACTTTTGACAACCCTAATATATATATATATATATATATAGATTTATTTATTTATGTTATTACTTATGTTTCCCCCGACACACAAATAACACCACAAATCTGGTCCAATAATCATGGTGATGAGTCAAAATGGCGGCTTTCAAGATGGCGGCCATGTTCCCATCATACACACATATGAATCCTACACACATATAAATAAATATATATATTTATTTACACTAAGCCGTGTACCTGGGCTGTGCTCCCGATTGATAGGAGCCCAAACAACCTCTGGACGACCTCGTCCCTCCTCATCAAAGAGCAGAGAGGCCCTTTGATCTGCCCCCCCCCCTTTAGGCTGACGCCTCTCCCCTTTTGCAGGCTGTGCCAAGGTGGGGGGGGTTCGCTTCTCAGAGGAACCGCCCGCCGCCGGAGCGCCGTCTCACGTTCACTTCGAGGAAAAGCTGCACGACTCCGTCGTCATGGTGACGCTGGAGGACGACGGGAACTTCATGGTTAAGGTGGGTTCGTTTTTTTTTTATCTCTCTCTCTCTTTGTGAGTCTTTTTTGGTCAGAAACCCCCCAAAAAAGGCTTATTTTTGAAGCTTCGATTTGTGTTTTTTTTTGTGAAACTTAACCGTTTCCATCAATTCAGTTAAATCTATAAAGCTTCAAATCCCAAAAGACGTCTTATAAAGGCAATTCAACCCGATTCAAACCAATTCTGCTCAATTTGTCTGATTTATATGGAGCCAGTTGATGAACGGTTCCAGCTAAAGAAACCTTAAATTAATCTTCTCTGATCCAATCACCTGGCGACTGTGGGAAGAAAAAACTCCTTTGAACAGGAAGAGAACAGAACCAGGAGGGGCGGCCATCTTTCTGGGCCGAGTTTAGCCCACTTCCTGGTTTGTTTGAACCCTCTTTTCTGTCATTTTGATGGATGGAGCAAGAAAAAGGCACCAAAAAAAAAGCCTTCAGACTTCCTTTTACACCTTTTTAACGTCTCCCCGACCAAAGCAGATTAGAGATTCATGTCTGAACCTCCACAGAAGCAAACTTCTTCTTCCCTTCAGGCTCCACATTTTGTCATCTGATGAACTAAACCGACTTTTAAAATTGCTATTAAAAGCACTAATTGTCAACAGCTCAGTCAGACTTTTTTTTGGGTGTTTTTTGCATCTTTTTCCTGGAGTAAAAACGCCCTCTAAGAGCCGAATTCCTCCAGTTTTTGTTGTACCTGCACAGTCGAGCAGCACATGTGGGTATTTATTTACTGTAAATAAAATCCCTGTTACCAGGTCATTAAATTGGAGTAACTTCCTGTGTTTACAGGCAACGATCTTTAACACGATTAACCACGATCTTAACCTGGTTAAAATGGTCAAAATGTGTTTATTTTAATATATTTAATATATTTTTTATATGTATATTTAAATATATATTATATTTATAGATTTTTAAAAATGTATTTATATACATATATTTTTAAATGATTATTTATTAATGAATTCATTATTATTATTATTTTTTTTTATATAAACATATTTTTCCTGATAGAAATGCAGGAAACGTTAGAATTGCATCTAATTTACAAACTGGAAAATAAATGCATTGAACAGGATTCCTTTTTCCTCTTTAACGTCCTATAAAAGGCAGAATTATACGCTCCCATTCTGGAGAAAAAAGGCTCCCTGTGCTTTCCAGATGCTGCAGCAGCAGAAAACCTGATCAAACGGAGGCTAAATCAGCTTTACTGAATGTGCAAGTTAAATAAATGTGTTTTTCCTCTCGTTTCCAGGCTGAGCGGCAGGTTTTTATTGGGTGGAAATGATATTTAGAGGCGGCCGTGTTGTCCACTGAAAGAAAAGGTGTTATCTGTGCAACATCCAGGAAAAGATTAAAGTCTTTTTTATCACAGTTAATCCGCTCTGTCGGCCACAAAAAAATCTCAGAACAGAAATCAGACTTGTCATCTGTCGGTGCTCAAAGCAAAGCGATGTGGATTTCTGTTGTATTTTAATTGTTTATGACTCCTCTTTTGAACTCTCTGAGCTAAATAAATATAATTGACAGGGTTTTTTTAAATAAAATCTGTGAGAATGTGGAAGAACTATGGAAATATGGTGAATATTTGTGGTCAGATTTGGCTTTTTGGGGGTGGATAGTGGCTCCTGGAGGGGAAAAATCTGATTTGTTGGATTAGTGGTTACACGAAATATTAAATTACAGCTATAGAAAAATAAATTAATTAAAATATATTAAATAAAAAACATATATATAAAAAATATATTAACAAATATAAAATATATATTATATACATAGTTGATGCTCAGGTTCAGGAGGAGCTGGGTGGGTTTTTAAGGTGGTGGATCAGAGCATGAGACCTTTGACCTCTCAGGCTGACAGAGAGGATCATGGGAGTTTAACCGCCCAGCCTCTGAGTGTTTCGTGGGCTCGGTTAAGGTTCCTGTGAGGCGTTTTGGGGGTGCTGGTTCGCTTCTCGGGGCTCTACCTGGTCCCTGTTCTCGTCCAGTTTTGGGCTTTCGGGGACCAGATGTGAAGCCCCGGTTCTGGGTCCTCTCACCTGGAAAAAGATGGGCTGTTTTCTGGACCTGGTTCCCAGTCAGGGAGGGTTAGGGTTTTCACGATACTAAAAATTTCAACTCGATACCGATACTCAGGAAAATACTCGATACCATTTTCGATACCACAAGAATAAAAAACAAAGACCCCAAAATTTACCTGAATTTTGACAGGTTAGTGTCTTTCATTTCAAACTGACGTGTTACTCATGTTATCGCGACTGGTGGCCCACATTAATGACCCTAACCCTAACCCTCCACTCTTCATAATTGTGAGAAATAAATATTGTTTGGTTAAACTTGTTTGGACTTATTGTACAAACCTATTTGACATCCACTATTTTAACATAATATTATGGATAGAGTTTAATTAAGTGTTTGAAAGATTAATTTCACTATTTTTAAATGAATGTCTATACTGCCATAAAGCCATTAGGATTTTCTTGCCTGGGATCTTCCTATTGGTGACCTAATCAAAATGGCCGACTTCATGTGGGCGAACTTGGATATGTACTTGATTAATTTTAGCATGTTATCATTAGCTATTGGCTGCAGCTAGCAGTTCAAGGCTAACGTCTTGTTTATGATCATAAACAACGTAAATAAATACATAAATAAATCAGAGAGAAGGGGGGGGACGGTGGTATCGATACTTTTTAAAATGAGTATCGTATCCGGATACAACATTTTAGTATCGATACTTTTGACAACCCTAGGGAGGGTTAGAGATGGACAGAGAGGGGGAGGAGGAGCTCTCGGGATCCAGCTTGTCCCAGTGTTTTTACAGGCTGTTGTCATGTCAAAAAAAGAGGAAACGGTAGGAAAAAAGAGGAGTGAACTTGTGTTGGAGGCTGGAACTTCCTGTGTCGAACTTCCTGTGGTTAAAACAGTTTGGCAAACAAAGGAAGAGACCGGCTCTCTCTCAGCCAATCAGGTTTCAGCTCATGGTCCAATCACCTGATACACAACCGGTAAAGAAGGAATTAAGTTAGTTATTAAGATATTGTTTATTAAAAGGTAGAAGTTGAGTTGGAAGATATTGTAGTACGGTTTGTGGCCCGGTAATGTTCGGTTATATTGTGTATTATTTCTATTATATTATCATATAATAATATATATATATAATATATATTATATTATTATTATATTTTATATTATATTGTGTATTATTTATATTGTGCTTATGGTTGAGCCACAGTGAAAATGTTTCATTTAAAAATGTTTGTTTGAACTAATTCAACTTCTGTTTGTCAATTTAGTTTTTGAAAGGTTTTCAACCTAATCCCGATTCCAGTCCTAAATCAGAAAATCTGATCATCAATTTCATCGAATAAAAGACGATGGAAAAGGATTTGAGTTGTGCCTTTGGTTCTTTTTTGATGATGACCAGCCGTTTTTCAAGTTTTGGGCCGGAGCTGAAGCTGGAAACCAGACATAAATTAAGATGTAAATCAGATGATCGGAGCAGTGTGACTCTCACCTTTTCGGTTCACATCTCAGCTCTTTTGCAGCTTCAGGTTGAGAGGGAGAAACCTTCTGGTTTCCAGTTGGTTTCGGCGTCAGAAAGAGGCTTTTAAACCAGCAGAGCTGCCCAGTTCAAAGGCAGCGAGCTCAGATCTTGAGACAAAACAGGCACCCAGACCCCCCCGTTCTGGGCTTTTGTTCGGGCAGCTGGCAGATTATGAGGAAAACATAAACCAGAGACGCGTTTCCAGCTTGTTGCACAGTTGTAGAGCAGTTAGTTTTCTTTATTTTTCCTCGATTGCTAACTCCAGATGTGTTCAGACTATCCCTCCTGGATGTCCCGATCGGGTTAGCTACTTTTGGTAATCTGGCTAATACCAAATTCCCACGAATTTCCAACCCTGCTGTACATGAAGACCTTTAATTGGGAAATGTAAAAATATGGATGTGATTTAATAATGAGGTGTAGGGATGTCCCGATCCGATCCCGGCCTATCAGAGCATGTGTTAAAGTGTAAAGTTATTTATCTACTTACTTAGTTGTCAGACTCATGTTGAACAGGGATTTACTCTGATAACAACTTAATGGTTAGGACACAGACCTGTGGGTTAGGAGATGCTAATGTGGGATCGGACTTAAAAGAAAACAGGATCTGGAGTCTGGATCATTTTCTCCTGCCGGTCCGATTCCAAATATCGGATCGGGACAAGCGTAACTCTGGTTCCCAAATGCTGATCCCAAAGCATTTCAGTTGTTTTTTATGGTGGCAAACAGCTGAAGAAGCTTCTTGAGCGGATTTAACCATCCCGAGTTGTTTTTCTACCTTTTGTTCTGCTCAGGTCAGACAGGCAACAGTGAACTTAACATATAGTTTACACTAGTTTTTTTGCTAAAAAGCAGCAACTCTGGTTCTTAGCAGTTCACAAAAGCATTTGAATGGTTTTGAATCACGGATGTCCCGATCCCGGCCTATCAGAGCGTGTGTTAATGTTTAAAGTTATTTATCTACTTACTTAATTGTCAGACTCATGTTGAACAGGGATTTACTCTGATAACAACTTAATGGTTAGGACACAGACCCGTGGATTACAGATGCTAATGCTAATTTGGGATCGAACTTAAAAGGAGGCAAGTGCCTCAGAGTGATCAGTAATCTGCATTTTTTTTTAGCTGGAATAGGAGTCCCCAAAGTCACATGTAGCTTCCTGTTGCTCAACATGCAAAGAAAAGCCCCCCCCCCCCCCCGGCCACTCTGATAAAGATGCTAAGTGTTATAAAAAGGTGCTAGTCCCCTTGATATGTCTCTCTCTTTTAATGAAAGACACTGGATATGTACATTTCTCTTTCATGTGAGCCCATGAGAACCTCTCAAAGAAATGTCAATTGCCAAAATGGACTTTGCTGAGACCCCCCCCTTTTTTATTTTTTATTTTTTGTTTGTTTGCCTGGTTTTTGTTTTTCTTTATGTAAGTGCATGCATAAATATTCATATGTATGTGTTTTGGATTCATAATAATCTTAAATAAAGAATGTTAAAAAAAAAAAGAAAAGCCCCCCCCCACTCCCTCTCTGGTTTGACACCGGTTGGTTTGTTTGTGTAGACGGACTAAAAACCCTCTCAGTCCCTGAGCAGCCGACTGGTTTCTCAGAGCTCTTTGTGCCCGATGGTGAGTGGGCTCAGAGGCATCGTGGCTCCACTTACATGTGGGAAGTGTGTGTGTGGGGGGGGGCAGCAGTCGCTGTTGTCATAGAAACAGCTGGAGAGAGGGAGGGGGGGGCATATCCAGACAGACCAAACATCAGTGGGAGTATGTGGGATGGAAATGCTGCCGTTTGGTCGTCGGCTTTAACTTAAAGGACTCGTGTTGCTCATTTTTCTGCGTATGTTCCGAAGGGGGTTTTGATCTGGATTCAGTCCAAAATTCAGTCTGAACGCTTCACAGTTGATGGAAAACGGTTTGTCCACAACTGGTCCGACATCCAGACACACAAAGTCGAGAGACACGAGTCAGATGTGCTGATTTTTACCCAAATTCCTCGTTTTTACCTCGTTTAGCTCCACGTGAGGCTTTTTAAGGGGAAACCTATCTGATCTGACAGGATTAGCGTTCGTTAGCGGAGATTTCCAGAGTAAACAAACAATCTTTGGTGCTAAATTCGCCTGAAATCGTTTTCAAATCGGCCCAAACGGCTCTGCTGGGAGAAGGCTCATACAAAAACATTTTGGACCTCAGAAGTAAAGAAAATGAAAGCGGCTTTCTTCAGAACCCGAATCTGAGACTGTCCGGTTCCTCTGAGGCTCCAGCTTTCCCAGAAGTTGGTTTCCAGGTCGTCCTCAGTAGGGTTGTCACGATACAAAAATGTTCAACTTGATACCGATACTCAGGAAAATATTCGATACTCGATAGCATTTTCGATACCACAAGGATAAAAACAAAGACCCCGAAATTTAACTGAGTTTTGACAGGTTAGTGTCTTTGGTTTCAAACTGACCTGTTACTGATGTTATGGTGGCCCGCATTAATGACCCTAAACCCAACCCTTACACCTAACCTGACCCCTAACCCTAAATTAACCCCAACCCTGACCCTGACTCTAAACCTAACCCTGACCCTAACCCTAATTCTGACCCTAAACCTAATCCTAACCCCGACCCTAAATTTAACCCTAACCCTGACCCCAACCCTAAACCTAACCCTGACCCCTAACCTTAAATTAACCCTAACCCTAACCCTAACCCTGACCCTGAACCTAACCCTAATCTTAACCCCTGACCCTAACCCTAACCTTCCACTTTTTATAATTGTGAGAAATAAATAAGTTTAGTTTAAAATGGTTTCAAAAGTCGATGCTTTTGAAAATGAGTAT